ATACTTGACTTACAAATTAAGCTTGCATATTAAAAATATAATCCCCAAAATGCCAGTGTTCATTGAACGAGCACTTGTTTTAAGATAAAACTGTATTACAGTAACTTATTTATACACAGTTTAAGTCAGTTAATTTTATAAGCATGGACATATAAGAGCGTGGTGTATTTTCAGTGGATTACTATACATAATGCAAACACATAGTCGCCTTTATATGTCGACGCATGTGTGATTAATCACCTGTACATGTTTATGATGTGTGTATGAGTTTTTGTGACCGGCAAGATGAGTAAGGATGAGATAATGCGTGCCCTACGAATCTTAATCTTCTCACTTTGTAAAGCAAAAAGGAAGGAAAGAAAATAAATTATAGTTGCAAGCCACTTACTCACTGTACGCTTTCGTGGTTATGCTCCTTGAGTTATCCATTAAACTTTAAAAAGATTTTATAACTGACGTTAACAATATTTTAACATACAAAGTTGTATCTGCATTAGCAATATCAAAATCTTTTCTGTTACTTTTTTTTAGTAACAGTGACTGAGAAATTAGTTCCTTAACGAGAACAAAAAGTCTATTCATATGAGACATTTTTCAATTAAATCATTTCACCTTCTTTGTTGGATCTGTTATACATTTTGTACACGTCATAGATCATTATGTAAAGTTTTTTTTTTTTTTTTTCATTATGTAAAGTTATGCTATGGAAAACAGTTTTGTTTATTTCGTATTTGACAAACGGCTTTTTTAGTAGTTGTTTATTTAGTAGTTGTTGCTGATTTTATGTTACCTAATTACTCTCATTAGTTAACCTTTTAAAATTATACTTTAAAAGACAAATTCATCATATTTATCTTTCATACGAGTTATAACTTTTGAAATAGGTAGGTAAAGTTTAGGTTTCCTCCTCTTTTTTCGTCCAGCAACACATCTATTACCAAACGAAATAAGAAGGTGTAGAGACAAAGGAGTTTGATAATTATTCTTGTGGAAAAGAAGTAAAGGATGTTAGATGCATGCATCTATTATCTATAAGGAACAAAGGCAGATTTATATTTAATATGCAATAAAAGTGGGAACGTGAGGGAGAGAGTGAGAGGTTGATTTTGACTCTTACGTTTTTGCTATATATCCGTATATATGATCTTCAGAACCAAAATTTGTTGCACCGTTCCACCATGTCCAATGGTTATTTTGACTATATCATTAAGCAACGCTTTTTAAATATGCTGAAATATATAAAACTGCGTCAACCATAGTAGATTAATATATACACAGTGAAAGTGGATACATGTATTCGTACTTGCCATATTCGAAAATCAAGATTTCCAAACCTTTTGAGTCGGATAATGAATACTACTTTTTCATTAATTATATAATCAGAAGTGAATCTTGATTATCAAGTAGTCTCAGGACATTATACTACATGCAACTAGGGTTAATTAAGGCTTTTCCAAACATTAGTGCACTGTGCACATGATAATACATTACAATATTCGGAGACTTAAAAATGGATAAACAAAAAAAGAATGGATAAACAAAAAAAGAATGGATAAACATGCCAATATGCCATACTTTCAATCTTTTCGTTAACCAAAGATAATATAATACAAAACAATAATAGATAATGGTATTTGAAGATCATTTGCCCATCAAGGATAAGACTCGACCTATATTATGATGCTTTGTTATCAAACGCCCTAATTTTTTAATAATCATTCCAAAAGACATCAATTCAAGGTTTTACTAACTGCCTATGTGATGCAAATTAGTTAGCGAATCATCATCAAATATAATTAATGGCGTCTCAAGATTTTTTGGTCATTCTTTTTTCTTAAGGTTTCTCCGAACAATAGTGCACACGGTAGTACATTACAATAGTCCCAGACTTTTTAAAATGGATAAACATTACATACCCTAAATCTTTTCTTTAATAAAAGATAATATTATTATTTCAAGATCATTTGCCCATCTCTAGGTGGTCAGAACAGAATAATTACAATAAGACTCGACCTATATATTATGCTTTGTTATCCAAACTCCCTAATTTTCTAATAATCAATTCAAAAGACATCAATTCAAGGTATTACTAACTCACTGACTATGATGACATTCCATTAGCCAAAAAGTCAAATTTAATCGTTCATCAAAGATAATTAAAGCCGTCTCAAGATTTTTGTTCATCAGATTTGATTTCATATCTCTGTCTACTATTAATTCATCATGAATAAAAATGTAAGATCACAGACCAACGTACGCGTCACAAATATCCAACACCCAATCGAATACCAAACAAAGAAAGAAATAAAAAATATGAATTATCTATTTTAAGATACCTTTGCCTTTAACACACAACAAAGAGACATTTATCTAAAAAATAACAATTTCAAAAAAAAAGAAAAAAAAAGACACAGAGTAATGTCATTATCGCCACGTGGCACCTGTCCTCCCGACACAAACCTCTTCTTCACTAAAATCTTGAAGTTAACTAAAAAAAAACACTTCCAAGATTTGCTTTCTCTTCTCTTCTCTTCTCTTCTTCTCTCCCATGTCTTCCTCCACCACCACAACCACACTCTCCGACCTCCCTGACGTCATCTTATCCAACATCACCGCACTCGTCACCGACACACGAGCTCGCAACTCCCTCTCCCTCGTTTCCCGAAAATTCCTCGCCCTCGAGAGATCAACGCGCTCTCACCTCACTCTCCGCGGCAACGCGCGTGATCTCCACCTCCTCCCGGGCTGCTTCAGATCCATCTCTCACCTCGATCTCTCCTTCCTCTCCCCGTGGGGTCACTCTCTCCTCTCCTCTCTCCCCATTGACCACCAAAACCTCCTCGCTCTCCGTCTCCGCCTCTGCTTCCCCTCCGTCTCCTCCCTCTCCGTCTACGCACGCTCCCCTTCCTCCCTCGAGCTTCTCCTCCCTCAATGGCCGAGGATTCGCCACGTCAAGCTCGTACGCTGGCACCAGAGAGCTTCTGAGATTCCTCTAGGCGGCGACTTCGTATCGATCTTCGAGCACTGTGGCGGCTTCCTCGAGTCTTTAGATCTCTCTGCTTTTTACCACTGGACGGAAGACTTGCCTCCCGTTCTCCTCCGTTACGCTGACGTGGCGGGTAAGCTTACTCGTTTGAATCTGTTAACGGCGTCGTTTAACGAAGGGTACAAGTCTAGTGAGATAGTTGATATCACTAAAGCTTGTCCTAATCTCAGAGACTTCCGTGTAGCTTGCACTTTTGATTCACGTTACTTCGAGTTTGTAGGTGACGAGACTCTCTCCGCTGTGTCAACCAACTGTCCTAAACTAAAAGTTCTCCACATGGTTGACACGGTGGCGGCACTAACGAGTCCTAGAGCGGTTCCAGGTAACGATGGTGGAGACTCAGCTGTCACGGTGGGGACATTAGTTGAGGTTTTCTCAGCTTTACCGTGTCTTGAGGAGCTTGTGCTTGACGTAGGGAAGAACGTGAAGCAGAGTGGTGTGGCGTTAGAGGCGTTGAACTCGAAGTGCAAGAAGTTAAGAGCTTTGAAGTTAGGACAGTTCCAAAGTGTTTGTTCTGCTACAGAGTGGCGGCTTGACGGTGTAGCGTTATGCGGAGGGTTACAGTGTTTGTCGATTAAAAACTCTTCTGATTTGAGTGATATGGGTTTGGTGGCTATAGGGAGAGGTTGTTGTAAGCTGAGTAAGTTTGAGATTCAAGGGTGTGAGAATGTGACAGTGAAGGGAGTAAGGAGTATGGTTACACTGCTTAGAAAGACACTAACTGATGTTAGAATCTCTTGCTGTAAGAATTTAGATGCAACAGCTTCTTTAAAGGCGGTTGAACCTATCTATGATCGGATCAAGAAACTGCATGTTGATTGTGTGTGGTCTAGTTTAGAGGAGGAAGGAGGTGTGGAGGAGACTAACCATGATGATGATGATGGTGATTATGAGAGGAGTCAGAAGAGGTGCAAGTATTCATCGGAGGAAGAAGTGAATGGGTTTTATTCTGAAGAAAGAGTGTGGGAGAAGCTAGAGTATCTGTCTCTATGGATCAATGTTGGTGAGTTTCTAACACCATTACCTATGACAGGACTAGAGGACTGTCCAAACTTGGAAGAGATTAGGATCAAGATAGAAGGAGACTGCAGAGGCAAACGCAAGCCAGCTGAGCCAGAGCTAGGCCTAAGCTGCCTTGCTCTCTATCCAAAGCTCTGCAAGATGCAACTAGACTGCGGTGACACAATCGGTTACGCATTGACCGCACCACCTATGCAGATGGATCTAAGCTTGTGGGAGAGGTTCTTCTTGACTGGAATTGGTAACTTGAGCTTAAGCGAGCTAGATTATTGGCCACCACAGGATAGAGATGTTAACCAGAGGAGTCTGTCGCTTCCTGGTGCAGGTCTGTTACAAGAATGCTTAACTCTGAGGAAGCTTTTCATCCACGGAACAGCTCATGAGCATTTCATGAATTTTTTGTTGAGGATCCCTAACTTAAGGGATGTGCAGCTTAGAGAAGACTATTATCCAGCGCCTGAGAATGATATGAGTACAGAGATGAGAGTTGGTTCTTGTAGTAGATTTGAGGATCAGTTGAACAGCCGCAACATCATTGACTGATACTATACAGTGAGTTACTCCACACCCATTATTACATTTGTATTGACTTCAGGTTTGGTTATACTTTGAATGTTATGTTTGTAAAAAAAGGAAGATCAAAGATGTATATACAATTGCAATGATGAATGAATTGTTATAAACTGAATGAAACTATCACAAGATTCAGCTAAAATGAACTTTTATCTTGTAAAGATAGAGAGTGCCACTATAAATCTTTTGCAATATTAGTGAAACCGGAGACAACCTTATGGCAAATCAGTATGTACAATCCCGTTTGCAATAATATAAAAAGATCCCAAATCTAAGAATAGGGTGATATCAAATAAAAATCCAAACCTGCTTCACAAATTACGTAGAGGAATCAAGAGAGAGAGATATAACATCGTACAAATCAACTTCTAATAACAGGACCCCTGTACTGAACTCGTCGTATGACAAAATCATCAGGCGGTTGATATTCCTCCAGCCAGGTCACGTCTGATACCACTTCACCCTCCACTTCTACTTCACCTGCTCCGTTTCACATTGCAAAGTAAATGAAAGCCAGTATATCTCACGAATTGTTGTGTTCTGTACTGTTTTAGATTGAAACATTCTATCTATATTTAGACGAGGGGTGTTTCAAAAGCTTAGAGTATTACCGGGTAAGTCTTCTCTTCTGGATTTCCGGAAGTAAGTACAATGTCGATCATGGTCTGAAGAGTAAGGTGGAGCTAAGATATCAATAATAGCACAATGGGTGATGGCTTTAAAACAGTGAATGTTGCCACCGCTCTTCGGATATAGCGTGGTAGCTTGGCTTGGAGCCGTCATCTCAGTATCCTTGACCAGTTTAGCGGGTCTTGCTGCTAATGAATTAAGGGTTTACAATCTAGACCAGGCAGAGTGATTGGTAAAAAAAATGACGCTAGAGAAGGACGACGGTTATACCTTGGGATGGATCTTCTGGTTCGGTCGGGTAAGGCTCTATCCAGTCATATGACTTCACATGCATTGAACCATATATGAGCTTGCTTACCACAGTCATTCCTGGATGGTTATGTAGTGGTATCATAGAGGAAGGTGGCATACAGAAAATTCCAATCTGTTTTGACAGACAAAACGAACTAAGTAAGAGATAGTGATAGTAGCAGTATAATGAAGACACAACATCAGTTAGAGACGCTCAAAATATGGCTCAAACTGTGGTTAATCATACTTTCTAGATCATTTGTCATAGGCTTTTTTGCAGACTTGAGGCTCATGGCTTGAATGGTTGGTTTCCTGAGATTCTCTCAAGGACCAATGTATGGATGCTCCCCTATTCCCCTAATTTTGAATAAGCGAAAGAAGCGAATATAAAATGTCAACTAAATGGTCTCAGGAGGATTGGCTATTTAACGTTTATTTCTGGCCTTTTGATCTCTAATGAGCGTTTGGTTTTGGCACATAAGCATATTCCTATTTAAACCTAGGAATTAGAATCGGGCTCCTATGCTATGTTTTACCTAAACCATCCTATATTAGATCACAAAAAGATACACACGCTATCCACATTTGACTATCTTCTAGTAGCCATCAGTAAGCTTTAGCACTAATCAATCAGACATAGTTTTGTTAAAAAAGTATGCTTACAGAGAAACTGCCACACTCATGCAAATGATAATACTTTATTTCTGGAGGCGACTGCTGATTTCCATTGAGAGAACCACCAGACCTGGTTCGTGCTAATTGAGCTTCCTGCTCGATTCCAACATCAGATGGCTTGATTTTCTCTGAAACAGTAGATTAAAAATAAAGATGTAAGTGCAACAGGGGACCACTGACATTCAAAACAAGAAAACATAAAGTAAGATAAAAAATGATTAATGCAACTAACACCTTAACTAATACAATCATTGCAGAATAATCAGGTAAATGTTTAAACATCATTAACAAAGGATAACAATGATGAGACAAGCAGCAAGAGAATGAGAAAATAGAAATAATATATATACCCAAGACATTGCGAACTTTGTCAAGACTGTCCTCTGAGATTGGTCCGTCTGAAGAGAATGAGGTCTTGCAAGTATTGTAAAGCCTCTGAGCAAAGTAAGGCATGATCTAAATCCAAATCCTTCCTAATTCTCACCCACACGACGAGCTATGTCCCCCCTTTTTATCAGAAAAGGGGCTCAAACCTGTGAATAGGTAAGAGAGAACAAGTGATGATGATACTAAAACTTGATGGAAAATAACAAATCACTGGTCTACATCATAAAAGCATCTCTCCCTGAAACAAGAAGAAGGAAAACAAAAACAGTCTCAATGCTAATTATCTCAAAACTTTCATCTATCTCAATAAAAAATTAAAACAGAGGGATTCATAAACGTTAAATCATGATACCACATTGATTGTGTCACTGAAACTGAATCTAATCGTAATTATAGAGCTCAGAGCATCATAAATGCTCGGCATCTAATCGAATTGAGCTAGACCTATGAGATTCATTAATACAGATTCCAAACAGTAAGACATTGCAATCCGATTCAATACAGATTTATCATCAAATCGGAGATTCGTTTTCTCAGGTAAACAAATAGTAAGACTCGACTCCGAGTTAAATCGGAGAAAAAAAACGGCAGAGAAGTTTGAGAAGAAGAACCTGAACAGAGCCGTCGCGTAAGATCCGGAAGGAATCGGGTGCAAGTTGAAGACAGACGACGAAGAAGAAGAGATGCAGGAAGAGTAGTTATTATTATTATTATTTTTTTATTCTAACATAAATAATAATTAAAATAAATATATTTTTTCAATAAGGTTGTTGCCCCAGATATTTATCACTTCTCTCAAGTGGGATCCTGAATTTACGTAACTACCCCCTTAACATTCACCTAATTTAACTAACGTCCTCTCTGTAAAAGCAGCTCTTGAAAGAAAGAAAAAAACGAACCCTAAGAGGAGATTGATTGATTTTTAATTGCACAAGGGAGACGAAAGCAAGCATGGCAGGAACTGGACCGATGACTCAGGACTGGGAGCCGGTGGTGATCCGTAAGAGAGCCCCCAATTCTGCCGCCAAACGCGACGAGAAAACTGTCAACGCCGCTCGTCGTTCCGGCGCCGATATCGAAACCGTCCGAAAATGTTCGCTCTCATTCTCCTTTCTTAATTCATGAGAGGCAGATTGTGATTCATAGGCTCTCTCTCGCTCACTCTCCGGAATCAAATTAGAATAGATTTGGTATTTTGGATTGTGATTTTGTTCTCGATTTAGGGTTGATGTTCTTTATTTAATTGAAGAAATGATTCGCTTTAATTGGATATGTGTTACCAATTTGGTTTATCAGATTGATATTTTTATTCTTTGAATGTGAAATTGGATTCCATCTAACTGAGGATCTTTTGTGTTGTGTTGTGTATTAGACAATGCTGGAACCAACAAGGCAGCATCAAGCAGCACTTCACTCAACACAAAGACGCTTGATGACGACACTGAGAACCTTACTCGTAATCTCTCTCATCACTTTAACCTGAATGCTTAGTTTTGATTTCACTACTTGCAAGGGAAACGGTTTGTATTCTGGGCAAATGTGTTTCTCATTTCTTGATTCATAGCGTGTTTGAGGTCTATTAATGTTTATGTGATAACGAATTGATTTGGAATCATTAAGACTCTTGTGGCCTCTGATGGTTATAGCAGAGAAGTTTTATAATTCATCTGATGGTAAAGCTGGCATGTAATGAGGTTTTCTTTATTACCATTGTGATTCCAGATGAGCGTGTGCCTACGGAGCTTAAGAAAGCTATTATGCAAGCCCGCACTGAGAAGAAGCTAACCCAGTCCCAACTTGCTCAAGTATTGCGATCCCCTTCTCTATCTCTTATTATTTACCTTTACAACTCAGGTAAATAACCTAAAGAACTTGTTTGTTACTTTCTGTAGATCATCAATGAGAAGCCACAAGTGATCCAAGAGTACGAGTCTGGTAAAGCTATCCCCAACCAGCAGATCCTTTCTAAGCTAGAGAGAGCTCTTGGTGCTAAGCTTCGTGGTAAGAAGTGATCATCAAGTCCTGAAAGATGAACAAATCTTATTCGCTCTTTCACTTTGCTTAATGACTATGTTCATGTAATGTCGTCAACTCTGCCAAGGGTAATCTTTTCTCATGTAAGAATGATAAACCTTTTAAACTTTTGCTTAATCATTTACTCTTTTTATAAACATATATTATAGAAATAACACACAGTTTGACGTATTATAAGAGAAGTGCTCATAGACCCTTGAGGTTGAAGATTATACCTCCAAAACCACCATGATGCAGGCTTGTACCGGTTTAGTAGAGTGTGTCAGTATTAGTCTTTGGAAACTTTGTTGCTTGGTCGATGGTGTAGATCAAGTTAATTAGATCAAGTTGTAAGGGTTTAGCTTGCCAAAAATGTAGGAGATTCTAAATCATTGTCTAGTCTGATTGTTTTTCTAATCAGTTAATTTTTTTTAATTATGATGGTACATTCATGCGGTGTGTATTACAACAATTTCAAGTCCAGTGCTTAAGCGGTTCTTTTTTTTTTAACACTTAGAAATTCACAAACCATTGATCCCATCCAAAAAAATAGTCAACCTTTAAGCCAAACAGCCCAACTAAAAAGGGGGGGGAGAGGCTTCCTCGCTCTAAAAGAACTCCGCCATCCAAACTGGTGCCCTTGCAGCTACATAAGGCTGATCTTAATTAGCCTCCCTTTTTTTTTCTCACGCAAATACTTCATATTAAAGAAAGGGTCCAGGCCCAAAATAATAAAACGTTAGCCCACTAAGGGGCGCGTTACAGAAAGACGAAGAGCCGGTTTGGCTACAGAGTCTGAAAAGGAGTTATCACGTTTGTATGCTGATAATAAATACTTCTCTTTTTTTTTTTGGCTAAAGATGCATGGTTTTACACTTTTATGGATTATTCTTTTGATTCTTTTCTCTGGAAACATACTCTCAACCTCTCTCTAAAAAAAAAAAAAAGTTAAAACAAATAACTAGGAAATATTAACATTGTAGTTTGCCACCGGACAACGAATAAGCCTCGACTTTTTCGAACAAATACAATTTGGTGATGGTAGTAAAGTAGAAATAAACATAAATTTATGGCATCGTTATTAGTTAGTTATCTAGAAAAATATTAGCAGTTTCAAAGATCATGAGATAGTGGACGTAGTTGAGAAATATTAGGGATTATTCTATTTTATATCGAAAACAATAAACAGAATTATGAAACTGTTTCGCATTTAAATTCTCTATTTACTTTTTAAAAAAAGATTAAGAGTCATACGCTTTGTACCTCTGCCCTTTAATGGGCTTTTATAAATCTAACGGGTTGACAAAAAAATAAGAATGAATTTGCGTGAGATTATGTAAAATTGATCGTTGATCGGAAAATACAGAGAAAAAAAAAGGAGAAATGAGGTGAAGTAGATGAGCCTTGCCGGAATAATATTGCCGGTCATTGAAGCCTTCTGCTACATTTGTTTGTTTTATTGTCAGTCATCTTTAAGGCATCGATGACTTCTCTTTGGCTTTCAGGTTTTGTTTGCTTTGAAGACTGTTTGATGATTATCTTTCTATGTTATGTTGTGTAAACGGTTTTAAATATAGAAATGGGTGCAGCAATGGCGTTGTATGTCAACCAAGCATCAGTTTGAATTAGGCATGTTCAATCTGGTGTTCGGACCGGTTTCGGTTCGGTTATTTTCGGTTTTCGGTTATTCGGTTTATAAAAATTAGCTACCATATTGAAACCATATTTAATTTGGTTTGGTTCGGTATTTATACTACCGGTTTATTCGGTTTTATACCAAATAACATTATTATTTGATTTGATTTCATATTATATGAATTTAAAAAAAAATATTGTCAAAACTATCATTTATTAAAATAATCCTAGGTGTTCATAAATACAAAAATCTGAAATTAACAACAAACAAAACGACCAACGATTCAGTTTTGTACAACTTTTCTTATTTTCTATTTCTTCTTCCAAATAAATTACATGATACAATCTAATTTCACAAAATCTTACAACATGCAAAATAAAATCAAATTTAGATAATAGTTGAAGAAAATAAAATAAAATTATTAAGATATATCTTCACAAGGAATAAAAAAGTAAAAAAAAAGACTATTCCAAGAAAATATATGGTTATATAATGTATATATTTATATATTTTTTCTTTGATCGGTTTTGTTTGGTTTATTTGGTTTAATCGGTTATAAACCTAACTATATCCAAATCCTACGGTTTTTATAAAATCATATCCATTCGGTTTATATGGTATATACCAAATCCAAACAATATTGTCTATTTCGGTTCGATTCGGTTCGGTTCGGTACGGTTCAGTATTACCATATTGAACAGCCCTAGTTTGAATGGATTTTTTTTTGTAAAAAAAAAAGAAAGAGGGGAAGTAGAGGAGAGAGTAATCCTTACATAAATATGATAAGAAATTATGATAGGGATAGAAAGATAATAAAAAGTTTTAGCAGTTATATATATTATGCCAATGTACGCAAAAACTCAAAACAATAGTCTAAAGCAGATCTGTTCCCTCTAGATCAAAGTTCTAGTCGATAACTGAGCCAACAGTGATAAATTTAAAACATAAACATATCACATAATTTTAGGGTCAATCAGGTCCGCCATTGCTGTAACAACATCTGCGCCAATCTTAATCAACATCTTCCTTTGTTCAGCTAGGGCGTCGCTTTTCAATGTACCCATTGTTGTATAGAGCAGAAAGTGAATGGCTGCAAGTGTCGTAACAAAATAGACAAATCCTTTCTTCTCTTCATAACGACAATAGGAGGGTTCAATATCTACAAAATATATATATAAAAAATATATAAATTAGACCCAAAACAAAACGTATGATACACATAATCGCAAAATAAGACAATGACCTCAACATATTACAACTATTGGTCCCTAAAGATCTTGATTACAACTATTAGTAATGTTCACAGAGATTGTGAAGAATGAACTTTTTTGCTCATTTGTAAAAGAAAAAATGTTCTCTAACTAACTGCTGTTGAAAGTAGATAAAGCAGCTCGTAAAGCTGAGTAAGTATTAATGTTTTTTAATCAATATGCTATATAGCAATCATGCATGTTTCTAACCGTAGTAAATATTACTATGTTTTGGTAACACACCCACTAACAATAAGCAAAGAAACAAACCAAAATGAAATCAATTTTCGGTCAATTACAAATTTTGTGCAATTATCTCAACTTATTATGTGTCTCCATTTATTTATAAAAATAAAATCAAATGTCAATTTTTTTTTTGTGGATCTAGTTTTTAATTTTTATTTTTTTTTTAATTTTAATAACATGCATTATAAATATCTGAGTTACATTGAAAAATAGTGAAAACACATACGAATATTATTAGGCTACAAAATGTTGTAGTTTTAGTAAGTTTAGAAAGTGAGAAACAATAAATTTTTTAAACGAATAACAAAATTTATATGACTGATTTTCTTCTGCATAATATGCTAGTGTTGATTGTTAACACCAAATATTAAACCTAAACCAGTTGTTATCTAAGGTTTGATATATTAGTTCTCTTGAAATGTGATTAGGACATGAAAACCTGACTTATCAATTCCAGTTACAAAGTTATTGACCTAGTGTGGAAGCCATTTTGGTAAAATAGCTTGATTAAGGCTCTTTAACTAATGTTTTATCCTAATCCAAAAATATGATTTATTAACAATTACGTTACTGGAAAAAAAACTTCAACATCATATAAACATTAGAGTTTATTGTTTCTCTAATCCAGTTATAAAATTATTGACTTAGTTTTGTAAAAATGTATTTTCCAACATCTGAACGGCACCATTTGATACCTTTTGTCTATGATCTTCAAGAGATTCAGAGGCCTAATCTCAATAAAAATGACAAAGCCCACCTACAGTGAGATTTCTTGGCGAAGCAAATTGGTGTTTCTACGGTGATCGAGACGACGAATCTCATAGTATTTGCATTTGTTGGCGATTTCAACCTAATCTTGACTCAACTGTATACATTTTTCGTATATGGAAAATCAGCGAATAGCTTAGCTGAGAGATATGGCTCTGATCGATGTGGCGATCTCATTTCTCAATTCAATCCCCGAAGTAAGTGTTGAGTTCTCGTTGATACACCTAAAAATATCGTATTTCCACTTAATCTTTAGGGATATTCTAATTTCCTTTGATACATAAGAAGTGATCATCAAGTCCTGAAAGATGAACAAATCTTATTCGCTGTTTCACTTTTCTTAATGACTATAGGGCTGTTCGTTTGGTTGACGCCGGTGGCTGCGTCGGCGTCGGCGTCAATTATTTTGACAAATCATGTTCGTTTTGTTGACGCGGATAATTGCGTCTAGACGCGGCGTTTAACGCTGCGTCCCGCGTTTAAAAATTTTTGACGCCGATTTTATCAGCGTTTTGACGCAGATTTCTGCGTTAATAGAAGTAATTTACACGACTACCCTTACAGTACTTCATTATTTACCAAAATACCTAACCCTAATCTCATCTCTTTTGACGCAGCTTCAGTGACGCCAAATCTCATCTCTCGTCTCTCTCTCCCTCTCAAACCTCTCGACTCTCTCAGGATCTCAGGCTCTCAGGCTCTCTCACTCTCGACCTCAGACATCCCAAGCTCTCTCTCCGATCTACCCATCTCCGAAATCATCTCATCTCGAAGCTCTCTTCTCCATGGTGTCTCATCTCGAATGAAGCCTAGCCTCAAGCTTCGTCTCTCAAGCTCTCCCAAGCTTCTCACTCCATCTCGAGCTCTCTCTCTCTTCTCTGAAGCAAACCCATCTCGAGCTCTCTCTCTCTTTGAGGTAACAGTCTATTGTTCTCTCTCTTTGTTCTCTATCTTTTAGCTCTGTTCTATTGTTCATTGTGATGGTCTTTGTGATAGCAAAGAGAATCTACCTCAGCTCGAGCTCTCTCATCTCTGGCTCGTGCTCTCTCATCTCCGACACAAACCTCAAGCTCTCATCTCCGGCTCGTGCTCTCTCATCT